TAGCTCTCCAGTGAGGTCAGCCAGCAAGGCATACGTGTTTGTAAGACAGTTTTATTTAAATTACCCAGGTTTTATAGAAATGCTGGCAATCTCATCTTTTGGCTCTTACCAAACATGACTGACTCCAGATGACACTAAAAGAGCCCCCCTCTTTATTTTCAAGACAGGGTTCCTCTGTATTGCTTTGGAGCCTGTCCTGGAACTTGCCCTGTAGACCAGACTGGCCTCAAACTCACAGAGATCCGCCTGCCTCTGCCTCCAGAGTGCTGGGATTAAAGAGAGATCCCTTTTATAGAACCCCTTTATGACATGTCTAAGTCCCTGATTTATTTTAGCTCCCAGTTTATTTTTCAATGGCTGTTCTGTGGTAACAGAGAATTCCATTAAGCACTGTTCTCTTGAAGGGTCACGATGCTAGCTAGCCTTCTCAGTAGAGGATACTTGAGGGACACTGGTGAGAAGGGACTCTCCTACTGTGCCTGACTGCTGCACAGTAGGTCAGCAGTGTGGGCAGCTTGCAGGACACATGGTCCCTCAGTGACCTTGCACCTTTGGCCTGACCTGTGATAATCCCTTTGGCATGGACACTGCTTGTGCCAGGCCTCCTTTTGGCAATGCCACCTGCTCCTTTGATAAGTATGGCTGCCCTCTTACTCAGCAGACCGTAGCCTGTACTTCATGGGTTGTTTCCTGCTTTCCTAGAAAACTTCCTGCCATCCAGGGAATACAACTGGATCTCTTCCAAGGACATCTGAAGTCTGAAGGGCAGCCTCCCTTCATGTTTTCCCTTCTTGGATATTCTCCACACTCCCAGGGGTTTCTTATATCTGACAGACTTTTATTATTACTACTATTATTATCAGAGTTCAGCAATTCCTTATATTCACCTCCCTTGTCTAAATCACTGTGTGATTCTTATCTCCTAATTGATCTTAGATTAACATAACATATTTCAAACTTATAGCTGTCAGCGGGAGGAAAAAAAAGATAAGGAATCAAAGTTTAAGTGATAAAGTAAGAAAAACTCGGGACTTCTTAGCACACAGCCATATAGTGAATTATCAAACAGACTGTTGCACACACTAATACTGCACACATTTCATCTGACAGCCAGCTTTGTGAGAAATTTATGGCCCGCAAGTGAAAAGAAGACACAAAAGTAATGGCTCTCTTAGTCCAAAAGCAGGGCAAACTAAAGAAAATTAAATACACTTGAGAAGCAATGCCGGAGATATACAGTCACCATTTATAGACACAGGTAGGTTAGCAAAGGCACTGCACATTCTTCAACAGCAGCAGACAAACAGAAGCATTCAACCTGCCACCAGCAAGCTCCACAAAATGATCCTGGAAGAGCAGGGTCCTGTCTTTTGACTAATGCAACTGGGCATGAGCTGGTGATTATGCCGTTATCAAAGAAGGAAAAGGTTTGTTGGATTTTCCCCTCCTTTCTCAGAAGTCTGCCAACGTAAAGCCAAGGTACAAAGAAGAAAGACTTTAAAGGCTAGGGACATAGTGGCAGCGGCAGGAATGCTGGCTTAGCATGTATGAAGTCCTGGCTCAACCACACCACCACAGCACGGGGGGTGGGGGGTAGTGCGGGTTGGGGGGATGGTTTGCACAGATTCTCAGGGTTTACCTGGACAGCTCATTTGAAGGCTTTTTTCCCTCTGCCATGCCATGCAAATTACCATGATACCAATTCTACAGGTAAATCACCAGAATGTAAATTATAACAACATAATTGAAAATACTACCAATAAGAGCCACTAATTGTTATTAACGGGGAAAACTTTGGAGAAAACAGACCATGACCAACATCTATTCTCTGCACTTGGCTGATAGGATGTCTCCAAGATACTTAAGCATCGGCTGGGCAGCCTTCTTGCAACTGTCTAGATGCCAGTAGTTCCTGTTTGCACTTAGTGCAGATGTAACTATTTGCAAACTGGGGGTCACACTAGCTGCCCCTTCACCGAGAGGCGAGGCGCCATGGTGCCCTGGGTGAGTCATGCCCGGGGAAGGAGTTTCTTGCTTTTGTTCAGAAGTTGTCCACAGCTGTGAATGTCATAGTCATTTTAGCAGCTAAACTCCTGTTTGTCAATCCATCTTTTGGGCAGACAGACTAACCTGTTCATATCCAGTTCCTCACCTATGTACAGTGTTAGTGAACACTTTCTAGGACACCCAGGGGTGGGGGTGGGGGCGAGGTGCAGCTGGAGTCACCAGACTCCTGGGATGGAGACTGGAGTGCTGCTCCTGTCACATCTTGTCACCCTAGCAAGCTGGTGCCCACATTTCTGAGAGCACATCAAGAAGAAGAAAGGGTAAGCCTTCTTGCTGTCACACTGCTGGCCTTCACGCATGGCTGTTGTCCTTGGCATCCATCCTGGAGCCAAGCTTTGGACTGTCCCAGACCCCCAATTATTTATATCTACCTAGTGTATATGCCATGAAACAGACTGGCAAGGAAAAAAATCAGAGAAGTTAAACAGATAAAAGAAGTGGGAGAACATTAAACCAGATTAGCCAGAATGTTTACCCTGAACATGTTGCTCTCCCTGCTCAAGAAAGTGACTCCAACACAGATCTGCAATTCAGCAGCACAGCAGATTATGTGCCCTAAAGCAACAGAATTAGTAGCCGAATGGAATGCAAATGGCTGGCATCTCTTGGGGTTGCAGGAACTATTCAGCTAATTCACTCTCACTACAGGGAAGATTTCCAAAGTAATAGAAGAAAATCCTTCACTCAATTATTTTAATGGCAAGAGTACTATAGGTTTACCTCAAAATTAGTATTCTATGAGAATAGCAAAATGTACTTTAAAACTCTAGGCAGTTTGTTTTAATCTTTGGCAATACGATCAGCAAGAGATGTTCAAAAGGCAGATTATCCATGTATTTTTTGTGAGTTTTGCAGATAACTAAGGAACGGAGGGCTAAGTTCCAGGAACATTTACCACAGTCCTGCAGATAATAGCTGGCATCTGTGTGAGTCATTACTTTCCCCTTGAACACAGAAAATACAAGACGCCACCATGACCTAGTTCAGACACAGGGCAACTCCAGACTTGAGCTCTGTAAGATGATGGGGGTAGAGGAGTGGGGGTTGGGGACACAGGGGGAACAGAAGTCTGGACAGAGATGTCAAGCATTCTGACAGCCCATGGCACTGCTGGTGTCCAGAATAGACTCTTCCTTCACTACAAAAATGTTTGAGTTCTGGAGGCAAAAAGTAGAATGAGAAAAAGTCATTTTGGCAGCTGTATCAGAAAATTACATTCCCCAAAATGTTCACATTTTGTATTATAAATCATAAAGGATTTTACCAAGGCCTAAAAATATTTCAAATGTGTTTATTTCTCGATTATAAATTCCAGCAAAAAGAGTGATATAAAGCAGTGCTGTCTGGCAGGAAAACAATGAAAAACACATATGTAATCTAAAATATCCCAGTGGCCACACTTAAAGGTGCAAGTGATGGTCTTAATATTCAACTTAATAAAGTCAGGTATTATTTTAATGTGTAACCAACCCAAAAATGATTCATGAGTTCAATTAGATGTTCACACTAAGTGTAAAGCCTGAAATCTCTTTACACTCAAACCATGTCTCAAACTCAAGTGGGCACATTTCGCTTGCTCAGTGCTTCATGTGGCTTGTTGGCACAGTGAACAGCACCATTCTGAACTGTGGAGCTTCCCTCTGGACGACACTGGGGCACAGACACTTGCTCTAAAGCTATCTCAGAGGAAGGTTTGGTTACGATTTTATTTTTACAGGGCCCCATATTATGTATAATAATGTAGAGGTCTATTTTAAAAGGAGTTCTCAATTTTTGTCCTGTTCCCTATCACAAACTTTAATAATTTAACAAGTTTGTTAATACACTTCAAGACACTGGTATCCACAGTGTGTGCTCTGCTTCCTTGTAGTTCTCCACACGTGCAGACTACTGCCATTTGCTGGCTTATGCTCAGCATCACACGGATCGTCTTTACTCAACCTAGGGATTAGCCAAGTCTGAGCCCAACTCCAATGCAAGCCCCTGTGACTTAGCAAGGAATTTTTCTTGCTGTTCTTTTAAGTATCAAACCATGTTTGGCCCCCTGCTACAGGCCCACTGCACGTTGAAATCCTAAGCAAACATGCACACATGAGCATGAGGTCTGCATAAAGATTTCCTTCTGGGTGAAACTCGGGAAAGCAAAGGAAATCATAGCATTAATGAAATCGATTTCCTGCCAAATAACAAACTGATGAGCCTTAAGACATATTCAGAGATGAAAGCCTCCTAGAGCAGAGGCATCCCTGAGCACATCTCATGGCTGGTAGACAAGATATATCAGTGTGCTGGCCTTTATTTCCTGAAAACAGCATAAACATTCACATGCATTTCACATTTCCGGAAATAACTTCAGAAGACTGTTTACTCCTGGTTTCTCTTCACTTTAAGAGCTAACTCATGGGCTAGAGGTTATGTCTCAGTGGTAGAATGCTTACTTAGCATGTGTAAGGTTCTGGGTTCAATCCTCAATGATACAAACGGAACATTTAATATTTAAAAACATACCCAAATATCCAAAAAGTTTGACCCAGGAATCCCGTAATAAACATGTGTAATTTATAATGATTTTTTAAAAAGCCAAATCCATTTTACACTATACACTTGGCACAACTTTGACTGACAGTCACATAGATGGGTCAGGATCAGTCGTCCTAAAAAGGCTAGCATTCTTGTAATGGGTATTATAGCTCAAGAAAGTCATCTGATTCCATCCTTAAGGCTGGTGTGTGCTCTTACTATACAGCCAGCAATTCCACTTACAGTGTGGCTTCTCTCTGTGTAAGTACACCGGAAGTCAAATGGAAGAATCCTCAAGGCAATGTTAAATGGTCAGCAACTGGAGAAAAAAAAATTAGATACTCATCTAGTAGAATAATTTTTAACAATTGCAATGGACATTAAAAGGAGGAAGCAAAAAAAAAAGCACTGTATCTGGTTTAGTTCTGTTTATTATTCTTTATGGATACATACATGGAGACAAAACGCTGAAAGGTAGAAAGGCTTTGATTTACAACAGGGTGAGGCTCCCTTTATTCAACAGAAAGAGAAGGTCATGGAGGGGCACATAGGGTGTCTGGGGGGAAAGGCAATAAGGCAGGCAGTGAGCATAAAGGGGTTATTATTATTACTCTTTACACTTCGGTAGATATGTGTGTATGTATAAAATCTAAAAAGTCAGGATGGTTTTAATAAGAGAAAACATTAACATCTCTGATGACAAGCTGCAGCCTAGTGTCCTGACAACTCACCTGGCCTGTCACCCACTGCTGCTGTGTACTTCTTTTGCTCCCCTCGTCCCCCTGCTCAGACAGGACCCAGCAAATCACACTGTGAGGACCTGATACATACCGGCAAAAGAGACAGCCATGCTGATCTGGCCTGTGTGTCTAGAACTGGGAAACCCTCTGATTGGAATCTGGGTCACACACAGGCAGCAGGGCTATTTGCTGATTTGGTTTCATGAGTTGGCACATTTCTGTGGGCTTAGAGCTTGCTGCCTGTGACCCCTCCTCCACCCTCCATCTGTCCTGGTGTTTAAGTTCTGCAGTTGTTTCTTAGTGAGTTCAGCCTCAGCCCCTGCCTTCAGAAATGTTTTCTTTTGCTTCCAAATGTGGCTCAAAGGAAGCCCAAGTTGAGGGAAGTCATGGGTGTTTTCTGCAACCACTTATGGGACAAACCACCCCTCGCAGTGTGCCTGCAAGGAGACCACAGAATAAACCTAGACTGGTGGCTGACAAGTCCCATCTCAGCCCTGAACTGCCGGGGGTGGGGGTCTGTTTGCCTCCCAGTGTGCCCAGGCAGAACCACATGCATCTTTCTTAAGTGAGTGGCTGCATGGTAACAGTCTAACCCTTCATGGATGGCAGCAGAAACAGAAAGGATCCAGCCAACTCCAGAATCAAAGCTGGAAAAGGAGTGAGACTAGGAAGAAACAACTCCTGTTTCAGAATGCCAGTTTTCTGGAATTTATTCTCCTTCAGTGAAGAATACAAAATCTGAGATTTCCCCAATGCCTTGAGAGACAAAGACAAACAAACTGAAATCAAAATAATTACACAGACTGAAGCAGACCCAGACACTCAGGGACAAATCTACATCAAAGTATTTCTAGAAAAAAACAAATCCCATAATAAAATCAAACAAACCAAACAAAACATAAAAGCCTTTGGTACCTTTCAATAACAAATGGAAAATATTTAGATGGTTAAATTCACACAATATAAAAATGTAAATGTTTGGTTAACGTTATAAAACAAACAAACAAAAAAAACCCAACCAACTAAAACATATTAGCATCTAAGGGCTGTGTGTCTTCTTTTTCTCCTCTTAGATTTTTACTAAACTCCCAGGATTTGGTAAAGTATTTCCTGAACTAAATGTTCTTCTGGTCTGTAGACACCTAGTGGTATGGTACTACATGTCCACCTACGGTTAAAATGGCACCATTTGGTTCTCAGCGGCCAGCACAAATTCCATTGTCCCACAGGAAGTCAACGCTCTGCCTTGAAAGCGCCTGGCATTACAGCCATGCCTGCACTTCTTGGCTCGACTTTGAAGATGGTGGTGACGAAATCTAGAGGCAGCCAATTAAAGGGAACAAGAACAGTATTTCAGCCAAGCACGTAATCCTAGCACTTGATAGGCAGAAGGAGTAGGTTCCAGGTTTACACAGCAAGACTGTGTCTGGAGCAACAATCCACAGAAAGAGGGAAAGGAAGACGGAAGGAGAAAATAATTTGTCAGTTAGACTGGGAGGCATTTAAGTAAGACCCAGTGTGCTCTACACACACCACTGCCTGGGAACTATGGTCAGTTCCATATCCTGGGCTTCTACCACTAATCTCATGTTTTCTTTGCTGACGCCCCCATGTTCCTGCAAAAGAATCACGGCAAGAAAATGATATGCAACTGTGAAAGTAATTCCAGGCACACTATCTATTCAGTGTGCTTAACATGGTCTAGGTATAGTATGGCCAATCAAAAAGTTTTATGACAAATCTTGGTAGCTTTCTGTCTTGTAAGCATGATGTGGCTCCTACAATCCAAAACATGCTAAGACTTCACTTTGCCAAACTGGTTCTTGGCACTTATTGGCAAGAATAGACCCAATCCACATAAGCTGGGCTGACTTCATGAGACAATTCTTTAAATTACTCTATTTAAATAGAAATGTGTCTGGTTAGAAGACTCACAAACTCAAGCACAATATCCAGTTAGAAGAGAAAAGAAAAGAAGAAGAAGAAGAAGAAGAAGAAGAAGAAGAAGAAGAAAAAAACCCTTGGAAGTCCCTGGGATTTATCAAATGGAATCTGACCCAGATCTTGTTTAATACCAACTAGCCAGCAATACCCATGACTTGACAAGCTTTCCCTGGAGAGAAAACTGTACATCAAGCATCTGGTCCATTCATGAAGAAAGCTGTTCTTTCTTCTGGCTGTAATAGGACTGAAAAACTCAGGCTGAGATCTCAACTTCAGCATTCAAAACAAAAATGCCACAGAACAGTCAACATTTATCAAAGCTCGTGAGGGAGTGGCAAAGGGGGGGGGCACTAGTTTGCTCTTTGCATTTCTCAAACATTTCTTTCTCAGAGTCAGAGTTAAAGTTCCCACAGTCGTATCATGCCGCTAGCGGTGGGTGGAGATTTCCCTCAGCCCCGAGGTTATCCCATTCAAGGCTAGTCCTGTTTGAGAACTGTTCAGTGTTCACCAGTGTCCACCCGAAGGGAGCAGGGATTTTGCTTCTTAAGAGTGACTCAGGACTATTGTTTAGACAGCTCCTTTCTTGTCTATGCTGCTTTGAAATCTCACTTGTGCTCATACACACGCAAGAATGCATGCCTGTGTTATTCTGCAAAGTCAGAGACTGTAAACTGGTCTGGATATGAACAAGGGGAATAACAAGACGAGACAATGGTAAGTAACACGGGAAATCAGACTAGCTGGCGGTGCTGGTGTCTGCTTTTCCTTTCGGTGGTACTGGAGCTGAGGGCGGCAGCAGCTTGTGTGTGCTACGCAAGTATTCTACCGTTAAGCCCAGCCCCAGCAGCACTGGTGCCTTCCACTACACTTCATAAAGGGTTCACAAAATATATCTAACCAAGCATTTCCTTTCTCCAAAAATATAATCCCATCATAAAATAGAACAAGCAGCTGTGACTCAGGGGAAATATATATGTGCGTGTGTGTAAACTACGAGAGCTGAAAATGCCTTTGCATACGGACAGAGCAAACTTCCTGGTCACCTACTATCTAGGTAGTGCACTTCCTAGGATCTCTTCAGCAGTCTTATGCAGATAGTGAAACTTCCCCCTTGCAAGAGATAAAGAAGGAGGTTTTCCAGCAGCAATCCCTTTCGTCCTGTAACTTGGCTGTGACAGTGCATTATTGCAATGGTGGTTCTGGAAGCACCTGTAGGAGCCTGGAGAATTTATAGGGGTGAGGGTTTCCATTACAGAAGGGACTCGAGAGCATCTAACATCTCCAGCAGGTGTTATTACAAAGTACCAGAGTAGTGACATTCGTGATTCTGCAATAAGAACCTTCGGTGTCCTTTGTCAACCTGCATTGCTTTTCTTCTTTCTATTCAAAGACACAACGATCCTGGCAAACGGGTTTCGAGGGCGCAATGCAGGCAGTGTAAAGAACAGGTTTACGAAATACTGGTGTCTAGTAGGGTTTAGGGCAGAGCCAGCGGTTTCTCCCTGATGGTGCTGCCCAATTAGCTCCAGTCGTTAAGGAAGCAGACTATAGCATGTGGCAGTACTTTCAGGTGATCGAGGCAACTGCAAACAGACGAGGAAGTAAGAGAACCCACCACCAGAGACCTGATTAGCTTAGAACAATCATGCATTCCCCATTATTCCAGTGTCTGCCAAAAAACACCGCGTCCAGGTCAAGCAAAGTTGCTGATTGTGCGTGTGGCTTTGTCACAGTGATGCATCAGGTAAGCAGGTATGTGCTGAGTACCAGGGGTGCTCCAAACTGCAACTCCATCACCTCTTTCTTCTAAGGTTCCGTCTATTAAACAGAAGAGGGAGAAAGGCACAGTTATTATGCAGCGTTGACAAGATTTGCCTTTGGTAGTGTTTTGTTTTGTTCTTATGTCAGGAACAGTGAGGGGGAGGTCATGAGTCACCCTCTGTGGCTGACAGGAGCAAGTCCTGACTTTTAAGCCAGACCCATCCAGCCTGCAAGCACATAAGGAAAAGCCTCGTTTCTCAGCAGCCACCGAGTCTCCTTCCTCTGAACACTGCTGTGACCTCTCAGGGGCACAAAGAGGTGCTGTTTAAGGGGGATGCAGGGTGAGTAACACCATCAGAACGGCCACATCATTCATAAAGCATCACCATCCCAACTGTCCAGGTGCCACTCTGTCTGTCCCCATGACCCAATTATACAAGTGTCACCAAGAAGCCACTGAGGTCTGCTCCAGATATGGCCAAAGAGTGTGCGGGGCACTCAGGTGTTACACATTTTGGAAATCACCCCTAGTGGTATGGACCCATATGCAGAAATTTCTGTAACAGGATCTGCTTGGAGTCCATTAGAATAATGAACTATATGTGGTTTTTTAAACCTGGAAATTGCCAGTGATTGGGCCCCCTTTCCTCAGTCAGGGAGACACCATGGATGCCAGTTGCTGCTGGCTCCTGTCACTCAGTTCTCCCTTCCTGGTACTCCCATCTCTCCCAGCTTTGACGGAAGTGGAAAACCCTAGTTTTACACACTAACAACCCATTTACCTTTTACTTTAAAAAATCCAATGCAAGATAAAGTGCCGTGAGCCAGTGTGGCTGATAGGCTACTATTTAGTGATTGATCGCTGGCCTTCCCCCACTCTGTCCACTTTGGGCAGTAGCCCAGTTGGAGCCGTACCTGCCTGTGGGCCTTCAGTATACTCTACCTACTGTGGGAGACAACTACAGATGGCTAACGGGGCCTCTGTGCTTCCTGGCTTTACCTTCTGTGTGCGCCTGCTGCAGGTGGTGGGAGAGGGGACAGGGTCACTTCTGCTGTATCACATCTATGACCATTTTGTCCCAGCCGTCAACTGCACTTTGTATGAATGATAACTAATGTGAAAAGTAAGCAACTAGGAAGGGGGCGTATTTCCTGGTTCTCACATCCCACCCCTCTCAGACAAAGATGAACTGCACTCACTGCTATGCCTAAGGCTCTGAGGGTTCAGGTGCCCAAGAGGCACAGATACTACGCCAGGGTTGTGCACTCTGTCCCAAGGACTCCTGCCTAGGAACTGCTTCCAGGCCCTTTCTGCCTTTTGAGAAACAAGCTTCAATGGAACTGAGACCAAATGTCACACGGATAACCACCACGTGAGAATGGATCCTGCACAGACCACAGCTTTCTTTACAAATGCTAAGGAGAATACACGGTGGGATTGTTACTGTTTTGAGCTAGGACCTTGCTGTAGAACTGAGGATCACCTTAAATTTCTGATCCCCGTCCCTTCCATCTCTGCTGGGTTAGCATTAAAGGGATACTGCACTATGCTCAGCTTCGCCAGTGCTGAGAATCAAATCCAGGATGTCATGCATGCTAAGCAAGCCTGCAATGACTGAATTACAGCCCCGGCCTCACTGTCTAATGAAAACAAAAAAAAAGAAAGCAAGAAAGAAAAGAAAAACAACAAACAAGTAACAGCCTGATAAATCTCCAAGGAATCTCTACCTTTGGGGAACAAAGATGGCATGCACATAGCCTTTTCTACGAGATTTTGACACAGACAATAGTGCCTACTGGGTTCCAGCTGCCATCCAGTAATACTTGCTCCAGACCCACCCTCCCTCCCTCCCTCCTTCCCAGTTCTTTGAAGATAAATCTGGATTATTTAATATCTTTGGGTGAAATATTTTATACAAATAACCTAATTCTCCTAACAAATACTCAAACGTCTGACTTGTGTAAAAATAGCTTTAAGAACCTGTAAATACTTTCTGTGCTGGCATGCCTCTCTTAGAAGTGCATAGGAACCACCCACAACCCATCTGCAGGCTTGCTGATGCTAAAACAAAGTGCGTTTTCACAGTAGCTCTGGTCCCCAGGTGCTGCTAGAGGAGTTCTATTATGAAAGGCCTCTGTCTTCCTCCCACAGGGGCTCCAGAGATCATACCTATCCCAGGCAGCCTCAAAGGACCTGCTATAAAGTTCCCATAATGCACTGCAGGTTCAGCTGTGTTAAAAAATAGACCCTCCAGAATGCAGCCCAACTTGAGGTATAGCCAAGGCTCAATTACTGTGTATATAAATACTGTAAAGAAAAAAATGGAAAAGTCTCACTGTGGCTAGTTCTGGGTAATGATTTTAATATTCTATTTTATACATATTTACACCTTTCCAACTTTAAAAACTAGGCCTAGCTAATTTTCTAATCACAAAGAACAGTTTTTAAATGAAGTAACCAAACTAATAGCTAATTTGGTAAGTATCATTTTTTTTTAATGTAACTCTTGTGCTTTATATGGTTTGTGGAAATATCCATTATTTCTAAGTCTTAGCACAAGACAAACTCAGGTTCTACATGTTTTCCAAAAGGCATATGACTCAACAAAGAGGCTTTAAAAATGTATAGGGGGAAGAACAGAGGAGAGCAAAATAAGAGATACTATCAAAGAGGGAGCCAGCATAGGTTTAAAGTGAAATCAGGCATAGGGAAATTCCAGAGATCTACAAGGATGACACCAACTAACCATCTAAGCAACAGTGGAGAGGCTACCTTAAATGTCCTCCCCTGGTAATGAGATTGACGACTAATTTATATGCCATCCTAGAGCCTTCATCCAGCAGCTGATGGAAGTAGAAGCAGATACCCACAGCTAAAAACTAAACTGCTGTGGAATCCAGTTGCAGAGAAGGAGGAGTGATGAGCGAAGGGGTCAAGACGAGGCTGGTGAAACCCACAGAAACAGCTGACCTGAACAAGAGGAAGCTCTTGACCCCCAGACTGATCACTAGGAAACCAGCATGGAACTAACTGAGCCAGACCCCATAAATGTGGATGTCAGTGAGGAGACCTCAGAAATCTATGGGGCCTCTTGTAGTAAATCAGTACTTATCCCTAGCATAGGAATGAACTTTGGGATCCTATTTCACACAGAGGGATACTCCCTCAGCCTAGATACACGGGGGTTGGCCTAGGCCCTATCCCAGAGGATATGACAGACTCTGAAGACCCGCCCCCAAGGAAGAACTCACTCTCCCTGGGGAGCAGAAATGGTAATGGATAGGTAGGGTATTAGTGGGGGGGGGGCAAGGGAGGAGGGGAGGGAGAGGGAATGGGAATTGACATGTAAAACAGTCTTGTTTCTAATTTAAATTTTAAAAATTAAAAAAATATTTGGATTGGTTTAGGAAGTGCACTCGGTATCTCTTTTTGTTTCATTCTGGAGCTGCCTTTTCAAATGTAGCTCTGCTTCTGCTATTTCCTAAAGCTGCTACCCCTAGGCATCTGTGAGGGGACTGTCTCACATAGTCACGGGGATCCTAGGATTCTATAGTCTTTCCAGTACACAGCACCTGCAACTCACCCATAAACATCCACCTATATGGAGATGCTTTGAACAACTGATATATCTATGCAAACAGGCCTTATGCTATATTATTTAAGAAATAAGGACAGGAAGGCCCAGTGCTTGGGAGGTAGAGGCAGGAGGATCTCTGACTTCAAGGCTAGCCAAGACAGTCAGAATAGAAAGACCCTGTCTCAAAACAACCAACCAACCAACTAACCAACAGCGATAAGGACAGGAGAGAGCTGTACACATTCAGTACAGATGTAATGTTTTTCCAATATTTTCAATCTGTGACCAAATCAATTATAAATGTTAGATCCAGACACAAGGTAAAATGCAATGTGAATTTATAAATAGAAATGACCTATTTTTCTACCTTAAATTCCTCTTCCAAGAATAGGGGTATAAATTAAAAGTAAACCAATATTATGATTTTTAAAAAGTTAAAAATTAGAGGGAGGAGTTTAAAGGAGTTAAAAAAATTTGTGTTTAACACTAAGTCTGTATTTACCTGAGAGACTCAAAGTTTAGGAAAGTAGATACTCACCCTTCTCACTCACCCTTAAGATCCAGCAAGCTAAACTCTGAAGCAAGAGTACAGAGGTTTCACTACTTGGACGCTGATGCAGGAGTACAGAGGGTTAGCCTATTTTGACTACAGAAGGTTAACCTACCGTGGATGCTGGCCGAGGCTTCAGGCCTAAGAATGAAAAGACTGTGTTGCTCTCCTTAGATTCAAAAAAACTGTCATAATCCTAAAAAAAAGAAGAGAAAATAAAACCAGTGAATAACAGCAAACAATTATCTTCATAGTTGATGCTTTCAAAAAAAAAAAAAATCCTACTTGGGAGTAAGAAAACAAGGTACGATTGCTCTGTCAAGGCCAAGGAAGACCTGCAAGTAACTAGTGGGTTCAGCATGCTAGAGTTGAAAGGGCACATCCTTGCGTGAGAACACAGATGTAACAAGTTTTTTAATTCAAAACTAGGACAGCATTAAAATTTGACAGCAGAAAAAATGGGGCAATCACATTCCTTTTTCTTCACGTGTCAAACTGGAATTTATCTGCATGAACTGGCTTTTACCTTGGATTACACTCTAGATGCTAACATAGAAAGTCACCTCCCAATGGCATGCTTGATACTTTGCTATCCAAGACTTAAAAACAAAACACAAACAAACAGAAAACACTGGTAAACAGGAAAGTCACAGGTATCTGCAGGTGTCAGTGGGTTAGAATTTGAACAACGCAAATTTGACCCTATCACCCTGTGCTCACATCTTTTCTTGCAGACTTTGGGTGCTCATACAGAATAGTCTAGGATCCTCAACAGAGCCTTGAAGGCTCTGCATATCCTGACCCTGCCCAGCCCTTCAGTTGGAGGATGCAGGGCCCTTTAATTGAGCCTCTCTGATCAATGTTCACAGATTCATTTTTAGGAGACTGCTAAGGGATTTGCTCAGTCATGGCCAGTGGTGGGCACAATGCATGTCAGGTTCACAAATTTCAGTGGCCCTTGACCCACTGCCTTCCTTGCATCACTGAAGTCACTGGAACTACAGACTCCTAAGAAATAATGGGGAAGCCACTGGCGCTGCCAAAAGCAGCTGAAGCTGTATCCAGGCGCAAGGCCCCACCTGGGCACTGCTATGGCTACAGGTGACTACTGAAAAAGCTGGCCTCCCCTTCTTCCTGCTTTCAAAAGAGCTTAATGGTAACATGGAAAAATGATGTAAAACAGTAAAAGGATTTACACTGAGATTTAACATTTATACGCCAAGTAGTATTTGTAAACCTTCAAAATGATCAGAATTCCCCAAACCACAAATTTAAATGTAAAGCAAACTTTCATGCAATTTCCACCTAATTAACACCTAAAAATATATACAGGCAGAAAAAAACATGCAACATCATCAAGGACTCATTTATTCACACTGAAATGAAGCTGCTCTTACAAGTGTTAGTCACCAAAAAAGGTATTTGCAAATGTCAGATATTTAGAAATCTCAGGGAAATATTTCTAATTTATAAAAAGAAAGAGTTCCCCTAAACTATATCTCTTCACAAAAAAATGATAAGCATTATTTTTATTTAATCAACGTTGAGCTCAATGCCATGTAGCTAAGGCTAGGGGGCTTCTGGTCTGGAAAGTGCTGACTTAGATTCACCAAGACCTCAGACATTTTCATCAAGGTAATTAACCCCCAAGAGAAAGTGACACATCGAAGTTAGTAATTAATTATAAACGCAGAATAATGTACAGCCATTTGAAAACTCTAATATTATTATTCTGTGGATGATACGTGTGGGTGTGCAGGAGGTGTGCTCACACCTCGGCACTTGGAGAAAGTCAGAGAGAGGATAGCTTTGTGAAGCCAGCTTCTGGGGACCACACTCTGGTGGTCAGGCCTGCATGGTATTCAGGCTTTCTAGACATGCCGAACCAGCTAGCCAGCCAGACAGCCAGCCAGCCAGCCAGTCAGCCCAGAAAGTCATTCTTAAAGTCAATATCTGGCTAGTACCAGACACATTTCGGATTAGCAATAAAACCTAAGTCAAGTGGGCGGGTCCAATTGTGTTTGCTAATTATTGACCGGCGTGTCATGTGTTAGCATTTTACCCATCTGAACAGTATAAAAGCATTTGCTTCTGGCTTTTGAGTCCGCTGAATCCTAAATATATGCAAAACTAAATGTCTTTGGTCATATTTGGACAAAAAGAATTACTGAAAATTTAAAGTCTAGAACCTTTTAATATTCCGTTCAGAGTTAAGCTATATGCTATGAAATCATTTAAGAGTAACACAGTCATAGAATTGTAAAAATCATTTCCTCTTAAAATATAGCTTCTTATTTATGACCCTAGGCCAGAATGTGTTCCAATAAGAGAAAAAAAATTAATGTTTTCTTATCAACCGTGTTTCACTTGTCAAATTTTTAAGTGTGTGTGCGTATATGTGTGTGTGTGTGTGAGAGAGAGACAGACAGACAGACAGACACACACACAGAGAGAGAGAGAGAGAGAGAGAGAGAAAGAGAGAGAGAGAGAGAGAAAGAGAGAGAGAGAGAATATTCCTCCCAAAGGTAAAGAGTATTAGGGTTTACAAATCCACACGAGGCTTCTAAAACAGACCCACTGAATTCCCCACAGTTGAAGGCACTCTTTGAAGCTGCTGTCTGTAAATGCATGTCTGCAGGCTGCACCGCACACTGCAGAAAAATCTACTCTGGGACTTCAGGCTATAAAGATCAGGCCATACTAACTCTGCAAAGGACACAAGCACAGAAATCATATTAAAGGTTAAAGTGCCGAGTTTCAACAGCCGGTACATTTTCATTACAGTTAAGACAAAGGATGGAACCAAAGTCATCACTTCTAATGGCAGCTATGGAACAATGTCTGGGCTTCACAGGCCAAGCATACCCTGGCACCTCTCACCCACCAAAGGGAACACTTTGCTAAATGCTTTAAAGAAGAATAAAACTAAAGAGCCATAGAGGTATTTTAAGAAATGCAGGGAGAAAAGAAAAGATTGCCATCGCCTGGGCTTCTGTTTGCATTCAAGTGAACTCGATGTTGGAGACATTTATAGGCCCATGATAAAAATCTGCAGCAGGTAGAGTTAACAATAGCCTCATTCTTCCACAAAGCCCAGGATGGACACTGCCCACCTGCTCTGATTAGAGTATTATGGACTAAGCAGCCAGTGGAGACAAAGATCTTCAAGTTCTCAGCCTTTCAGTGTTCCCCATGAGAACAGTTAGGAAAGCCCACAGCGGCCACTCTGAGAGGCTGTGTGGCCTTTCCTGGCTCAGCTAATGGCAGGTAAGTGACAGACCCATATTCTTTCCGCATGCCAAGGGCACAGCCAAACAGAAGGCTGCTGGGAACAACAGATGGACACAGAAATGGAGGCAGCAACCAGTCCACATGGGTCAAAGGAAAAGGTGGTTGGTCTGAGTGGAAGACATTTTTTAAAAATACAACTTTTCAAAGACTACTGGGGCTGTTGCTGCTGCCGCCTAAGATGGGCAGTAACTCCTGCTTCATTTTCTCCGGAGCCTGAGGGTAGCCTCCAAGCAGAATTTCTAGATTTTCGCCTGGGGGCTGTTAATGCTATATTCTATTTTATGAAACCTTGATATGGAAAGAAAAAAGTAGTTGGCAGACCCAGTAGAGGGCTAAGGGGTGGCTATCTCAAAACAGCTTCACCCAGTAGGTCCTATGCCAGACACTAAGGATGCCCAGTTCTGAAAGCATGTATAATATTTCTGACCAAACTGGTTCAGGCTACGGTGCAGGCACATGCCTCCCCTCCTGCCTTGTCTGGATGCCATCTGAAATGAGGTGGGGTAGGAACAACATGACAGAGTTATGCTTAGGAAGACATAAACCAGCGATGAAATGTAATCAACACATAGAATAAATAGGAAATACAACTGGACTGGCGGAGAAAACACTGGAGGCGGGGGTGTGAGGGCGGAAACTAAACCCCAAAGAACACAGTATTGGGGGAAAGAGGTGATGGCAAAGGCCAAAGTGGCAAGAGTGTATTTGCAAGGGCTGAGGCAGTCTGTCCATCCTGGTGCTGGTGAAGCTGGGATTCTCTGAGGAACACTGACTCCCACCTGCTGCAGGTCCTACCAAGGATACAGAGGCAGGAAAGGCTACATGGTCACTCTGGACACATAGGGCACAAGGATAGAAAAGCTTATCCTGGAAGGGCAACACTGGCCTTCATTCCTTTGTAATTCTCTCTTATGTCAGCAGTCCAAAGGGACCAACCCTCTACAGTCTCCTTTGCTCTCCTACCCAAAGCAATCAGGCCTGTGAAGGTGGGGGGGGGGCAGTGGAGATGGGGGTCACTGGCTCCTAAAAGAAAAAGTCAAAAAACAACAGCCAGAATGACTGGTACAGCCAACAATGCCAGGTACAGGCACAGAAGAAAACCTTTATACCATGTACTTCAAATCAATATCCTTGACAAGATTTAAGATGCTGTATCCATAAAACAAGAACAAGATGTTATTTTTAAAAGATAAAACAAAAAACAAAGGGGCTCCAAGAAATTAAATCTGATTGCTAAATAAAATGTGGAAACAGAATGATGTAGAGCTGAAAAAAAAAATATCCATGCAGCTAGTGGCCTAGACAAGAAACTCAGGAATGCCACTTGTATACACAGTGCAGCATCAAGAGCAAGAGATGCAATTAATCGTTTGAAAAAAGGTAAACCACGTGAACAAATAAAGCTAAATCCTGCAGGTGGGCAAGAGAAGAATGAAGAGTCAAAGAAATACGAAAACTTCCCCAAAGGAGGCAGGCTGATTTTCACATTGAAAAGTCCTTCCAATTGCTGAGCACAAGGTTCTCAGGCAGCAGACTCCAGAATCCAGCACCAAGCAAACAAACAAAAAAACAAACAAAATACAATGCCTTCGAGTGACAGAGAAAAGTAACCTAGAGAACCTAGTCCAGCAGACACAAACACTCCAGAAGTCAAGAAAGAAAGAACAAACAAACAAAAAGCCCAAAGTCTTTCAGAGAGGCAGGCCAACCTAAGAATGGACTACAGCACATACAATTCTTCCAACCAGAGCAGGGAAGGCAGGGAAAACAAAACCAAAACCAAAAATCAAAAACCTGTCTTGGTAGGATCTAATTTTAAATCTAATTTTAAATCTGTAGCCAATGAAATTATCCAGTAAGAATGAAAGTTAAAGGAAACAAACAAACAGAAAACTAACAACGTCA